AAAACACACACACATACACACACACACACACAATTCACCCTCCCAACATCCTCATCCAGCCCCCACCAGGAATGGATGCGAGCTGGTTGTGGTCCACCGCTAGGACCTCCAGCGCCGTCAGCGCCGACACCTCCACCGGCAGCGTCGTCAGCTTGTTATGTGAAAGCCTCAGCATGCGCAAGGTCACGAGGGAGCCCAGAGCCGCCGGCAGGGAGGTCAGCCCGCACGAAGATAGGTTCATGTTGGCAAGGCTGCGCCAGCTGCGAACCTCGCAGCAGCTGTAAAAGGGGAAAAAGGGGGAAAGGCGGGGGGAGGAATCACAAGCAAAAAGCGAAGCAGTCAGTCAGCTGTAGGAGGTAGGCCGCGGGTAGGTAAGGGTGTGCAGCGCGGGGGACTGGGCGGGGGACTGGGCGGGGGACTGGGGAAAGTGAGTGGCGGGGGAGTTCCCCCGTGGGTGCGTGCGTGTGGATGTGTGTGTGTGTGGGGGGGGGTGGGGTGGGGTTATACGACGAAGCCCCAGACGATTGACGTAGAGAAAAGAAAGCATACACGGGTACCCCAAGATAAGATCAATACTGTAGGAGAAGAAGCGAGATACTGGGTTTGTGTGCGCGTGTGTGTGGGGGAAAGGGGGGGAAGACGAACCACGAACGAGTGAAGCTGCTGCTGCCAGGGCAAGAGTGTACCAAGGGGGGCCGGGAGGGGGGGATAGTGGTAGTAGGGGAAGAGAAGGTTGGCCACGATAGGAAGTACGAATTGGGCTGAGGGCTGATCTGGGTCAGGTGTATTCAGGTATGTATATACGAACATATGTATTTGTGCCAGGCGTGACGAACATACAGACGTACATCGTCACATACCTGCACCAGAAATTGCCAAAGCCTTCTGCGCCACGCAACTTCCAGACGCCTGTGAGATCGCAATGCTTAAACAGCGCCGTTAGCAGCGCCTCCGGGGCGGCGCCTTCGTCCAGGGGGGAAAGGGGGGGAATCGCAGGTTGCGGAAAGGAAATGGTCACAGAGGGTCGTAGGATGCTGCAACAAGCTAAGCGAAGGTGTCGGACTGCCCGAAGCACCTGGTATCGGAGTCCAGAGCAATTAGGCAACTGCCCCGAGCAGCTCCGGAAGCAGAAAGGGGAAGTGGAGAAGATAAGAGACAGGAGGTGAGGGAGCAATCAGTAAAGCTGGAGAGTGGGGTGTGGGAACCGGCCCCGCTGCCCCAACAGCGCGAGTCGTTGGCCCCCATGCTCCACCGGCGCGACCGCCAAGGACATTTTGTCGGAGGTCTAGTCTGGGGTCTTTTTGGAAAGACCAGTTGAATGTTCTGAAGTGTGCTTCTCTCGGTTGCGTGGAGGCAAGAGCGCCGGTGTACGGAGCGCAACGCGGAGCGGCGGCCGGGGGCATGCTACAAGTGGATGACGGCATGCCAGGTGCTACACACCTGTGGACGAAGTTCGGACGACCTGCAAGGATCGCAACGCCGGCGACATGCAGGCAATTGACAGCTTGACTCTGACGCCATGGACTGATTGCGAGAGCTTGAGCACCACCCGCTCCTCCAGCCGGTCGAAGGCAACCCTACTCTTCGCTTGCGTGAAGCGCTCAAGGACGGCTGCCTCGCTTTCATCGCTGTTGAATTCAAAATCCAAAGTGGCCAGCGCCTTTGCGAGGCGAACTTGACCGCCCGGCAGGAGGGCTGGTTGTTCTGCGAAGCTGTCCCTTCCATACTCCAATATTAATTTGAAGCTGGAGGGGTTGCCCCCAAACATACGCGTTGGAAACATAGTTACAGAACTCCAGCTGAAATTCAATCCATTATTGTCTGAAGGCTTAACTGTTGCGGTCGCTGGCCCAAGCGCTGCTCAAGTGCATGAAGCATGAATGAAATTGAGTTTTCTGAGGTATCTAAGAGACGCATCAAACAAAACTACGTTTGGCTCGGGAAACGTTGGCGAACGTGCGGAACAGTTGCACCTGTACAATCGCCGTAGATTCGTGGGCCGATCGGTGGATTGTCGTTTGCGGACGCCCAACCTGCAGACAAGTTATGCCATTATTCAACCTATGTATGTACGAAAACCGTGTGCCATTTTATGACGCTGCAAAAACATGATTCCTTCTGTTAGGAGCTGCCAGTGAATAGGCTTCTTCTGTAAAATGCCCGTGGCCCCAGCAGGAATGCATCGGCTCCTCCTGGCCAGGGAGAGGGGTGTTGCGGGCTCCCAGGTGGGTGACGGCAACTCAGCACGCTGCCTGCTTTCATAACGCTGCCAGCATGTTTCTTTCTCGCGAGTGTTTATACAAGCTGCACCCTCCCATGAATTGGTAGCTGCGGGGTGGCTAACGTGCGCAGCAACGTTGCTCTGTAGGCGAAGGTCAGCTAACCCTTCTGCGTTCTCTCCTTGTTCCGCTTCTGTTTGCGGCCAGGATGCTCTTGCTTTTAAGCGGAGCCTTCACTTCCCTGTTCACTATGCCAGCAAGCTGAGTGTCGAGCACACCTATGAGGGACACAATGGTTGCGTCAACCGCTTGGGGTGGAACGCAGATGGATCTCTACTCGTGTCTGGCTCTGACGATCGGCGGGTAGGTATTGGAGCATCACTGTTAACGTCAAGGCGACACAGAGTGGGCGATAGGGGCACCATGGCATCGCCTTCAGCCCTACGGCGTTGCTCCAGATTACCCACATCCACACAGGTCATGGTCTTAGGAGTTTCAGAAACATGGAAGAATACCCATACCAGGATCAGGGCTGCCCAGCGTTCTCGCAGAGCGCGAAACTGCGGGCAATTCCTTCGTACAGTTACCTTACGCGGCTTTTAGGCAATCAGCAAACCCCTAAGCGCCGACACAGGCTCAGCCCGCAACGTCCGTGCCTCTTTAAAGTGGACATGCAAAGGAAACAGGAAACGCCATTTGTAACGAGGCACAGAGAACTTACATTTTGGGAGTTACCATGTCGCAACGAGCTCCGCCAACTGGAAATCTGCCAAGAAATGGAGTGAAAGACCATACTCCTTGCCATCCCATGCAATTCCACGTGTCGTCAGGCAGTCGGGTTGCCTCCGGGCCAAACTCCGTTCTGCGCCGGTACTGCATCGCCATGGACAGCGTCCTTGAGGAGAAATTGATTTTGCTTTCGACCCATATGGGCGGATGGCCGTACCGCTCTGACGGACCTTAATTCGTGGAAAATAACCTTTTGCGAAATGGAGTTCGGGGGCCCGCCCCAACATGGCACCTTCCTCCTCCCCCACCCCCATCTGAACTAAAGATCCTTTAGGGGAAGAAGGAGAACCCCTTCGGTTGTCCCCCCAAATCCTCTCCTGCAGCGTCCCTCAAACCCCCCACACCGCCCCAAACCACACCACGGGCCTGTCCAGCATCATCGCAGCCCACTGCAGCCGTTCCCGCTTCCTCTCTCCGGGGGAAGTTGTTGATCCTGAACGTCCTCGCAGTCGTCTCTTTGTTGCGACTTAGGCAGGCATCGCATGATTCCCCCACATTTAATCACAGCCAACAGCTTCTTCAGGGCAGCAGCCAGCCAATTTCGGTCTGGACACGATCAGTCAAAGCTCTCCAGTCGGAAGTTCTCATATGATCAAGTTTTCTGACATACTTAAACGATGTTGCAGGCTTCTGCTGTCCCTCATAAGCCTGGTCCAAGGCGGTGATTTGAAAGTATTAACATGATTACAGATTCAGCCAAGCGCAAATTTTGAGCTGTGCAGCACACGCACATTGGAACAAACCCACATGACAAGATGGCCAAAGACGGTTAGAACCCTTCCGAAGCCCTTCCAGTCATTTCCTTGCCTGCCCTTCCACCAAAATCGGTTGTCAGACTATCATATCACGTGCATAAGGGAGTTCGTCACGTCCGGCCGACCGATCTCTTCAGGCGATCATTTGGCACTACCCCGACGTGGATCGGCCCCCCTTGGCGCTATCCACCGAACACCGGCTCAACATCTTCGGAGTCCAATTCCTGCCGTGTACGGGAGACCGCCGTATCGTCACCGGAGCCATGGACAATACCGTACAGCTGCACGACATGGAAGCGTCGCCGATGTCGGCGGCGGCAGCGGCACGTGCAGTCGGCCGGCAGGGCGCCGCGGGATCGCGGGCTGGGGACCATGTCCTGCGGCGGCGAGTGGCGGCGGCGAATGTGCGTTTGGTGGTGCCGAGGACCAAGGTGTATTTGTCACACCGGGATCGTGTCAAGGTGGGCTTGGGGGGTGGGCTTGGGTAAACAGTGTGTGTGTGTGTGCGCCCGTGTGTGTGTATGTGTGTGTATGTTACACATTGATGCGGGCCTGACACTGGCCATGGGCACCTAACCGTACCATTTATGTGTGTGTATGTCTTTTGTTCCCCTTCAGGGCGTTTTAAGCTGCGTGTACATCATTGTGTTTTGCCGTACATATGTTGGGTGTTAGCCCCAAGTTGGCATCCTTTGCCGTACGCCTTGCTGACGCACACGTGTGTACGGCGCCACAGGACGTCAAAGTGGAGCCCATGAATCCTCACAACTTTTGGTCATGCGGCGAGGATGGCGTTGTACGGCAGTTCGACACACGTCTGCCCAATCAGGATAGCTTTGAGAGCCCGACGGTGCTGTTGCAGGTGCGTTGCGAAGAAGGGGTGAGGGCTTAGGGGTTTGGAGGCTTAGGGGTGCCGTATTCGAGGGCTTAGGGGTTTGGGGGCTTAGGGGTGCCGTATTCAAGGGGTTGGGGGTGTGCGGGTGCGGGTGCGGTCCCAGTGAGGTGTGTGTTTCCCAACTAGGAAGGTCGTTGCCGAGTTCGTCAAAATACCCAACCTACCTCACCTAGCTAATAGCTATCCCAAGCACATTTAGATGGTCGACTGCTCATCTCCTAGCTCCTTGCATTCGGCCAGTAGGTATGTAAATGTAAATGTATACATGTGTACATAAAACCCCCCTGAAACCCTGGGAGTTCCCCCCGGGCGGTCTCCTCGGCGTCCGGCTGGGATTCCCCACTACCTGCAGCCTCAACCCCCCCCCCGGTCTTCACCTCGCCACGCTATAACTCCGCAGCTCTCACTCCTCTTGCCCTCTGTCTCTCTCTCTTCTCTCTCTCTTTCGCATCGTCCTAGGTGTACGGCAAGCGCGAGGTCGTACAAGTCAAGAGTCTCGACATCAACAAGGTACGCAGCAGTCGACAGCCGCAACAGGAGGACATCCCCCTGGGGGGGGGTGTTTGGTGGCCGAACTGACAGACCATGTCAGCCTTTACGAATAGGCCGAACGGTAGCTTTTCGACCTGTGGGTTAAGGCGGGGGCTGCATGCTGACAAGGCGTGGGGCCGTGGGGGGTGTTGGGGCCGTGCACCCGGAGGGTTTATCGTGTCCCTAAGGGACAGCGTCTCCCCCCATCCCCCGCGGGAACCCGTACCCGTACCCGTACCCGTACAGGCTCACCCGCACCTGGTAGCCGTCGCCGGCAGCGACGTGTACATCCGTCTGTACGACAGGCGGAAGCTGAGCACCTGCACCTGGAAGGGGGGTGCGGACACGGCGGCTCTGATGCGGCTGGCTCCCCCGCACTTACCCCTGGGGGCGGCTACCCGCCCCACTCGGGCGCACGCTACCTACGTGTCCTTCTCTAACCGGGGTGATAAGGTACGTGTGCGTGTGCGTGTGTGTGCGTGTGTGTGTGTGTTTTGGGGGGGGGGGAGAGAAGTGGGAAGGGGGAATGACATGCCAGGAGTCAAGAAGGGGCTAAAACCCTAAGTCGAAGCACCAAAGGCCGACGTCCTCTCCTGGGGACGTTTTGGCGGGGTGGGTGATGGGGGGGAAAGTGAGCAGGTGTTTTGCTTCAGGGCTGGGGAGTTATACAGCGAGACAGGCCGTGTATGTATGTATGTATATGTTTATGGGGGGTTAATGATGAAGGCTCCTCCCCCCCTTTCGCCAGTGCGAATTGCTTTTGTTCCCCTCTTCCCCCCATCCCCCCACCCGCACACACAACCTACATACCTGGCGTATTCCCGCCAACGCCGGGTCGGTCGGTCATTCCGGTGACTGAGTGAGTTGCCGATTTCCACAACTCACCCCCACCCCCCACCCCCTGCGGGTCCTGTATGTGCCAGGTGGTCACCAGCTACCACGCGGACCACGCCTACTGCTTCGACATCACCTCAGCGGGTGACCTGGCCGCGCGCTTCCCTCAGCCACCCGCCCCCGCCCCCGGCCCCTCGTCCGCCTCCATACCCATATCGACACCCATACCGGCACACGCATCCAGCCGGCCGCTGCCTGGTCGGCTGTTTATGCGGGGGGGAGGACGAGGAGGTTGCTGGGGTGGTGGTGGGGGTGGGGGTGGTGGCGGTGTTTTGGCGGCGTCGTGGGGGGCGATGCCGAAGGAGGAGGATCAGGACGCGGAGGAGGAGGAGAAGACGGCCGCGTTTGGGAGAAGTGGAGGTGCTGCTGGAGGTGGCTGGGAGCCCTCGGGGTGAGGGGGTTGGGGGGTGATGTTGGGTGTGTGTTTTGTACAAAGGGATGTGCCACGAGCGGTGTGTGTGTGTGTACGTATGTATGTCTGTATGTGTGTGTGCGCGAATGTCGAAGGCGGCACGTGAACATACAGCGCGCGCGTGTGTGTGTGTGTGTTTTGGGGGTGCGGGTATGCCCCAGGATATGCTCCAGGGGGGTTTGATTGTAGGGGTATAGTCACGACGCTCCCCCCCCCTTGACGTCGCGGCAGGGCCCGGTTAGGGGGCCAGGGTGTTTTCTACCGCTTGGAGGCTGCCCCCCCCATCACCTGCCATCTGCCCCTCGCCCTCCTACCTCCTGGCTGGCGCGTGTCCCCCCCCCCCCGTCTC